CTGGCAGGCCTCCCCCCACCCCACATCCCTGCTGCTATGGGCTGGCAAAGACCCAGGCTGCCACTTTAATGCCTTCCACACCATTGGAAAGGCGGGTGCTTCAGGGATGAGTACGTGTCCCATGGTCACACACACAGGCTCTCTCTTTCTACTAATCTGATGGGACGAGGGCCGCCACCTTGGGCTCCACTAGGGACAGCCCGCCTGAGAAGAAAGTGGAGGAGGGAGAGGGAGAGACCTGCTGGCAGCCTCGGGATGCCTGGGCCCAGCTGAGCCTGCGGCCAGCCGGCTACTCTCAGTGGGTCATTGCCACCGGCGATCGAGTCCTGCCCAGGAAGAACCGCATCTTTATAGCCAGTGCAAGACGGAAATGCAGAGCCCTCGCTCAAAAAGGACTAAGAATTTCGAAGCAGCAGCAGCAGCAGGCCGAGCACAGGACCCTTCTAAGTGCGGGACCCTGCGGGACTGCTTGGGTCATGTGCCTAAGAAGCCAGCTCCGGTCCTGCCCAACACCATCCTCCCATTTCCAGGAGAGCAGACAGAGGTCCCCAGGGTCAGAACAACTTCCCACGGCCACACAGCTGCAGGCAGCAAAGGTATGACTGTAACCTGATGTGAGCCGCTCCAGAACCCCGAGACCTGAACCACAACAAGCCACTCACTGTCTCCACCGACCCCCAGATGGACACCTCCCTGCTGCCTTTCCCCACCAATGCTGTGCCTTTATTTCACCCTGTGGTGTGACTTTGCACAGAGAGCTAAATTAGAAGGGAACTTTGAATCCAGTGTATCATCTACACGTAAGAATCCCTCTCGTACTTTTCCAGGTTCTACTTAAATGCTCCCTTTGATGGGGAACTCAATACCTCAGAAAACAGCACATTACAGGGTCGAGGGCCTCTTGATAGAAGCAATTCATTTTAAGTTGAGCCCAAATGATTTCCACCATTCGTGTTAGTTCTCGTCCTCCCTTTTCCTGCCCAATGGGGAACAGATCAGATCGCTCTCTCCCAGGACAATGATGTTTCAGATATTGGAGACCAGGCCATGTCTCCCCTTACCCTCTTCTTTCCAGGGGAAGTTGCTAGGTTCCTTTGGTCACCCTTTTGAGATGGTGTCCAGACCTCTCCCCATACTCTTAATACTAACTCAGAGGTGGGGGATATCCTGCCCACAGGCCATATAAGACCCACGAAGTCATTTGGCCTTGCCCTGCTATGGCAACCGCAGGTGGAACTCAAAATTCAATAAATCTAGGAGCTTTTTTCATAGCAACATCTATATATATAAAAGGCTAATATGCAAAGTGTCCCCTCAGGAGTTCAACCAGGAGACCAGGAGTTCGATCACTTGCTATGATGTGTGCTGACCACCAGGGGGTGGCACGGAATGAAGGAAGGCTCCGACTGGCAGCCAAAGGCTCCGATTGGCCCTGATCACCGGCCAGGCCTAGGGACCCTACACGTGCATGAATTTTGTGCACTGAGCCTCTAGTAAATTTATATTAAGTGAGTTATATTAAGGACCCTTGGCAGAAAAAAGGTTCCCCACCCCTCCCCTTAGAATGGGTGCCCCAGACGCAATGTAACCGCTACATTCTCCTGTCTTCTCCCTGGGTTCCATGGGCCATGTGGCTGAATGCTTCCAGGCTTCACCCCGGTGTCCTGAGAGGAAACGGGCACCCTTTGCAAGGGCTAATGTGGAGGGATGGCATGTTCACTCTTAATGACCGCCGGAGTCTCCCTGAAATTCCACTGCAATCCAAACAGCCAGAGACCCCGAGTTCAGCAGGAGGCCACGTCATGTCCCCGGTCACCTCGGGAGGTCCTGAGGGCAGGCCCTGTGCTGGAGCCACCCGTGCAGCCCGGCACCCGCAGGTGCTACAAGTCTTTGTCCCACTTTCCCTGGGATCCCTTCCCAGAGGGACAACCTGGACACTTCCTTCCCTAAAGCGAAGAGAAAGGGCACCCTCTCCCTGTGCTGCTCCAGCTGCCTGCAAACCAGTGCCCCAGGGAGTTTCATCTCAGCGAGCGGGCCTCTCACAGACTCGCATGGTCCCCGAGGAACCTGCTTTCCTACTTGTAACTTAGGACGTGTGCCCAGTGCCTATGTGGGCCTCTCGGGGAGAGAGAAGGAAGGATCACAGCTCTCCCGACCACACTCTCTGAGGACCACGGAGCAGTCGGCTCAGACAGTGTCCTGACCCCCCACCCCCAGCTCCCACCCAGACCATGCGAGCCCCTTCCCTGTCAAGCTCTCATCCCCCAGGCCTTCTCCTGAGCCCTTGATATAACCCCTCAGAACCTCAGCAATTTCATCTGTGCAGGCTGCTGGGCAGGTGAGAAGTGTGCACTACGTGAGTGCAGCCAGCCAAGTGCCCGGCACGTCATAGGAAGCGGTTTCAACCTACTTCCTTCCTCCTGACCTCCTCCCACCCTCCACTGCCTGCAGGGAACACATAAGAACCCCAGACTGTCAGGTCGCCTGAGGCTCAGAGAGACCGGGTAAGCTGTCTGAACACACACAGCACTCAGTGGCAGAGCCCACCCTCCAGCACAGGTCCCTGAATCCCAGACCTGCCCTTTGCCCACTCAATGGAGGCTGGATCAACAGTCAGGCGAGGAAGCAGCCAGGCGAATCTCAACCTCACACTTCCTGGTCCCACAGTCCTTGCTAATATCAATATTGACACCAACAACAGGAACAGCTGCCATTTGTTGAGCCCTTACTAGGCACCAATGAAGTTAATAATGGTGACAACAGCAATCACACTTGCAATGATGCCAGCGAACATCTGCTCGGGGCCAGTACTACCCTGAGCCCTTCCCCCTCGCCATGGCCTATAAGGTGGCTCTTGGGGCCCACGTGCTCTGGTGCTGAGATCCCCCAAGTTTCACACAGGGATCAGGCTGTGTCACAGCCCAAAGTCTCCCCCATTCACATTTCCCGGGGACACCTGAATGGGGTACACAAAGGCCACAAAGAGCTCCACTTCTGTTTGGGTCCATTTTGCCACCAAATGAGCTGGCCCTTACTAGGCACCAATGAAGTTAATAATGGTGACAACAGCAATCACACTTGCAATGATGCCAGCGAACATCTGCTCGGGGCCAGTACTACCCTGAGCCCTTCCCCCTCGCCACGGCCTATAAGGTGGCTCTTGGGGCCCACGTGCTCCGGTGCTGAGATCCCCCACGTTTCACAAAGGGGTCAGGCTGTGTCACAGCCCAAAGTCTCTCCCATTCACATTTCCCGGGGACACCTGAATGGGGGACACAAAGGCCACAAAGAGCCCCACTTCCGTTCGGGTCCATTTTCCCACCAAATAAGCTGCAAATGTTTTGTGTGTGTGTGTGTGTGTGTGTGTGTGTGTGTGTGTGTGGCCGGGAAAGAAAAAATAAATCATTCATTCCAACTTGGGCGATAGGGTGGCGCCAGAACTTCCCCAGAAAAGCCAGAAAATTTCCCTTGCCTTCCAGAGAGGAGGTGGGCCAAGGGGAGGGGGCTGGGACCAGGGGAGGGGGGTGTCGAGCCTGGGGGTGGTGAAGCAGGCAAAGAAGGGGACAGAGTCTAGCCTGGAGTCAGGAGAGGCCATCTTCCCCCCAAGCCCTGCTCTGGAGCCGGCGACACCCGAGGTGTAGCTCCTGGTGGTGAGCCAAGCAGAGACTGTACCATCCTGTGGGCAGGCAGCGTGGTGTCGGGGGAGGCATGGGCCTGAGTCAGAGGAAGCGGAGGGAAATCTCCACTCTGACACCTCTAACCTGTGGGTGACCGTGACCAAAAGTCACTTTGCTTTTCTGGGCCTCGGTTTCCTGAAGTGGAAAATGCTTGCAAAACTGAAACGTGTGTCGAATTATGAAGTCAGCTCCTGGCGTGTGGTTGGTGCCCATAGATGGGCACCACCTTTATTACTGTGAGATGGGGAAACACACAGGGGTGAGAAGGTGGACTGCCCGGCACCCTACGGAGCTGACTAGCTTCTGAGTCACAGGAACCACCTCATTGGAGCCCAGTTCTGATTTACCCTGATGATAACATGCAACTGACTGGGTCCCAGAAAAGCCCAGGGACTGATCCCCAAACCCTTGTCTCTGGAAGAGGACATCCCCTGCTGTAAGCATTGGCCTCCTGTGCGGTGGCCAAGCAAGCTTCCTGTCATCTGCTGAAACTGTTTCCCCTTTTCCCTTGACCGCCAGGAAGCTCAGTGGCCAAGTTAGCCCTCCGTTACAGGAGCATCTCATCCCATGGCTTCAGGCACAATGGTCTTCCTCTCTCTCAGTGTGCATTCTGATCTCTCCAATTTGGTTTTCTGTAGGAAGTCAGGGCCAGTCCTCCTGGCAAACAGGCTGGGTGTGGATTGTAAATAAGTAAAGCAGGTTTAGGTAGGAACCACCACAGTGAGAAATTTCACCCGCGTGAACCCAGAAGCCAGATTGCTGGGGTTTGGATCTCAGCTCTGCCATTCACTCGCTGTGTGACCTTTGGCCAAGTTGTTCAACCTCTCTGTGCCTCAGATTCCATATGTGCACATGAGGGTTTTCATATCCATGACCTCATAGGATTTCTGTGAGGGTCAAATATTAAATGCAGTAAGTGCACAACATTCAGTTCCAGATGTTTTCTAAGTGTTAGCTATTGACGGTGTCATGCTTTCTCAGCTTCCTTCTAAGAGGGATTGGAGGTAACTTGACCTTCAAATGGTAAAATGCAGGAGCCCACGTGGCTGCCGGCTCTGCACCTGCTCAGAGGACCAGACCTGTAGCCCTGGAGGAAGGCAGGCCCTGGCCCAGCCGGGCCACAGTTAACTCCTCCTGGAGTCCGGGAGCCTGAGCGCTCCCTGCTCTGGCCATTGACCTGCTGGCTGCCCTCACGCCCTCTCCTGTAGGACAGAGTTCTCACACTTGGGGGAGCGTGGTGGGGATCAGTGGAAGAATGAATGTAAAGTGGCCAACACTGCCCCCGCATATGGGTTGTGCTGACCCGATGTAGGGATGGTGGAGGCTACTGTTACTGTTGCTGACGTGGCTACCGCTATTAATCTCTTTGAGCATCTGCTTTCCTGTCTGACAACCTAACACTTACTGTACAGAGCTGCTGTAAGGAGAGACTATGTGTGTAAAGCTTCTAGAAGTTACCATGTGCACATAGTAGGTCTTATAGCCCTGGAGGAAGGCAGGCCCTGGCCCAGCCGGGCCACAGTTAACTCCTCCTGGAGTCCGGGAGCCTGAGCGCTCCCTGCTCTGGCCATTGACCTGCTGGCTGCCCTCACGCCCTCACCTGTAGGACAGGGTTCTCACACTTGGGGGAGCGTGGTGGGGATCAGTGGAAGAATGAATGTAAAGTGGCCAACACTGCCCCCGCATATGGGTTGTGCTGACCCGATGTAGGGATGGTGGAGGCTACTGTTACTATTGCTGACGTGGCTACCGCTATTAATCTCTCTGAGCATCTGTTTTCCTGTCTGACAACCTAACGCTGTACAGAGCTGCTGTGAGGAGAGACTATGTGTGTAAAGTTTCTAGAAGTTACCATGTGCACATAGTAGGTCTTCCTTAAGTAACTGTGATTATCACAATTGACTGGCTCACCCAGCAGCCATTCCCAGCTCCTTGTGTCCCTGTCTTTAGAGTCGGAAAGCCAGATACGTTCCCAGCCACCCTGAACGCCAGGGGTGCCTTTGTAACGCAATCTGGGGCACGTTTTTAGGGGCCTTGCTCTTCTTCCCCTTGATCTGGCCACAGCAGCCCAAGACGGGGCTGTGGCAGCCACCGTGGGACCACAGGGTGAGTGGCATGCTGTGGAAAAGCCATCACAATGAGGATGCTGAAGGGACAGCCAGGACCGCGGTCCCTGAGCTTCCACGCTTGACTGCTGGCTATGTGCACCAGTGTCCTTAGATCCGAAGCACAGTAAGTCTAACGTTCTCGTCCGCAAAGCTGCGCACCTTCCCTCTGGCCCAGGCCTGGGGTTTTTATTGACAGTCTCCTCCCTGAGCCTCACCTGTGGGTGAGGGGCACGGATTTAACGGTTGCTAAGGAGCCTTCACATTAATGAAAACGTTTACTGAGTCCTTACCATGCCAAGCACTAACATAATTTCATGGAACCCTCCCAATGACCCAGAGAGTTAGATTTCATTATTGTCCCCAGTTTACAGAGGGTGAACCGGGCAGTGAGAGGCGAGCGGCTTGCGCACAGTGGCTACAGGCCTGGAACGGGGTGGAGTGGGATCCTGGTCCAAGAGTGACTCTGCCCAAAGACCCCGCCTTCCAGGCCAAGGGTCCGCGGTGTGACCATGGGGAGGCTGCCTGTACCCACAGGGCTCATCTGGGACAACTGAGGCTTCTAGTCTCCCCCCACCCCCGGGCGGATCCCCCACGCAGCTGTCCAATGCCAGCTGGGCACAGGAGGGAGGGGTGCGTACCTTGTCCATGTTGAAATAGAAGAGGACGCCAGCAGCCACCTGGGCGATGAGGATCAGGAGGAGGAAGACGAAGTACTGGGGACACAGAGCAGGCGGGTTAGCTAGAAGCCCTCACCAGGTCCCCCCTCAGGTGCTCCCCACCCAGCCTGGGCCGTGCAGGGCTCAGGGCAGGGCAGGCAGAGGGGGGGCTACTCACCAGCCCCAGCAGGCAGCGGACTTCGTTCACGGCGCCGATGCAGCCCAGGAAGCCCATGAGCATGGTGACGGCCCCCACGCCGATGAAGATGTAGGCGCCCACGTTGAGCGAGGTGGAGGAGGCCTCTGGGGGATGGAAAGGAGGGTGTTCCATCAGGCCCGGCTGTCTCGCCCTCATGAAGTACAGAATCAGGGGTAGGGCCCGAAGGTCCAGGACCTTCCTTGGAGTCGGCGTGTTGGGTCAGCCCCCCAGCAAGGAACCTGCTCCTCGCCCCCTTTGGAAGCTGCCTGGATATGCCTCCCCCAGTCTAGCCTAACCCCCATCCCTGCTTTACTTGATCTCCTCAGCACTGACCAGGAGTGAGAAGACCACCTTTTACTAATCTCGCTTGCTCCTGTCTGCAGCCCCACAGGAATGAGAGCTCCAGGAGGGCAGGGACTCAAGTTTGCTCCTGCTGAACCCCCAGATCCCGAGCCGGGTCTGGCACAGCAAAAGGATGAGTGAATAGCTGCTGAATTAACGACCCACGGACTGGCAGGTCCTACTGGGGCCACAGACACCACTGCCTGCCTTCCTCCTCGCCCATATATAGTACTAAACACCTGCCTCTCTTGCCCACTCCCTGTGCCTCGGGGGCTTCACGCAGGCCACCTCCAACTCTGACATAACTCAGCACAGCCGCTTCCAGCCGGGGAAACGGAGGCTCAGAGCGAGGAACCAGAGGCTCAGAGTGCTGCACCAGCACAGACCAGAGCTGGGATCTGGAAATGTGCAGACCTCCAAGGCCGCTCTTTCCACCAATGCACAGGGCACATGTCCTGGCACGGGTGTGGCGCTTGCTCATTCCTTCAGCCAACACATGTTTACCAGGTGCTCACCACCTGCCAGACACTATGCTGGCTGCTGGGGATACAGAGTCAGGAGGCAGAGGTTCCCACACCCAGGAGCTGACATATGTGGGGTGGGGAGTGGGGACAACAAGAAAACAATACAATCTTCTGGCTGCATAAAGGGCCATGGAGGTGCTAAGCCGGCCAATGTGAGAACTACGGAGCAGGGAGTGGGTTGCGGTGTGGGGAAGGCTGGTCTGAGCAGGGGATGTTTGACCTGAGATGAGAAAGGAGAGGTCATTCAATTCAAGACCTCAAGGAAAGGGAAAAGCATTCCAGGCAGTGGGAACAGCAGGTGCAAAGGCCTGAGGAAGGAGTAAGCTCGATGCATTTGAAGAATGGAAAGAAGGGGAGAAAGAACGGACCAGCGTGAGTGAGAGAGGAGTATGACAGGCAATGGCAAGAGTCCCTCCCCAGGGCCATGGGCAGACAGAGCCTGCCCCTGTGGGTGGAGATGGGCAGTTCTGTGCAGGCATTTCCCAAGAAGCCCAACAGATCACACAGGGCAGAGCGCATGTCCACCTCTGGCCTGTAGGCATGGGGTACCCTCTAGCCTGAGGCTAGGACACACCAGGAGGCCAGGGTAAATGTGCCCCTACAGGCAGGGGCTGAGGGTTCACTCCCAGGAGGCAGCTGGGAGCAGAGGCTGGAGACCACACTAGCCATCGGAGGAACTTCCTCCTGGGTGCAGCATAAGACCGCCTGGAGTCTGCATGTGCAATGTGCCTCCATAGGACTGGGGCACAGTTGGGGCGGCCCAGGGAGAACACAGCTTGCCCCCGGGGGACCTGGGAGGCCGTGAGGGGTTAGCGCCCTTAAGGAATAACCACACAGCTGGAGTGTGGGTGGGGGGAGGGCCTGGTCCACCTCCACTTCCTGGTGGCAGACAGAATGTCCTGGAACTCAGGATGAGCCTGGCCCGCCCACCCCACGCTCAGGGTGCCAGGACAGGGCTGCCTCTGTCTGGCTCTTCACAGGCCTCCAGGAATCCGGGCAGAGCCCTGCTGGGTGAGGGTGGGACTTCCTCTGGTTCCAGGCCCTCGCCGCCCTGGCTCTGGGCAATCTCCATGGGCAGCAGGAGCCCACAAATTTTACTTTTCCTGAACTTCCTGGGCTTGGGTTCCGACAGGTCCTCCCAGCGATGACAACTCCTAGAACAAAGGATCTGGCACTGCCTGGTGTGTGGCAGTCCAGCAAGGCCCTTTATCCATCATCCTGCTTCCCTTCCACCACAGCCCCACGAGGGCAGGCTCATCCTGATTGGTCCCTAAAGGCCCGAAGCCCAGAGAGGCTGAGAGGCGGCCGAGGTGGCCAGCAGGCCAGGCCCAGGGCTGAGACCCCAACTCCGGCCCTGCCCCTGGGAGGCAGCTGAGCCTCGGGGTCTTGGTTTCTCAGAACATTTCGCCGATACCAGTCCCTGTCCTCACCCAGGTCTCAGGCCGGCCCTTATCTGAGTAACTGACTGAGGAAGGGACCTGTGACTATTCCAGGGTGACCCATCCGCTGTGTGTGGCAAAAACACCTTGATCTTACTGGGCCAGGCAGGTACCAGCGAGGGACCCCTTTCCCTGGCCTCTATTCCTTTCTCTGTAAAAAGGAACAAAGTCCTACTTACTAAAGACATTATAAGGATTAGAGGGTATTATTAATGTTATTCTTTAACAATTATAATTATTATAACTAATGTAACAATTGTTATAAATATTAATCTTTAATAATCACGTAGGCGTTTTCTAAACTCTCTTTGAATATTAACTCTTTTGATTTCTCACAATCACCTAACGAGGTACATTCTATTACTTCTATTTTACAGACAAGGAGGCTCAGAGAGGTGAAGTAATGTACCCAGGATCACAGAGCTCACAGGCAGCAGAGCCGGGATTGGAACCAGAGGAGCCTGTATCCAGAACCTGCCCTCTTACCCCTGTGCCCCATGACTATTCTGTAACTACAAATTTGTACTTCTTAATCCCTTCACCTTTTTCACCCAGTCCCTCCCCTCTGGCAGCCATCAGTCTGTTCTCTGTATCTGTGAGTCTCTTTCTATTTTGTTTGTTTGTTTTGTTCTTCAGATTCCACATGTAAGTAAAATCCTATGGTATTGGGCTTTCTCTGTCTGACTCATTTCGCTCAGCATGATACCCTCTAGGTCCATCCGTGTTGTTGTGAATGACCTATTCACATAGTTTTGATGCTATTTCCTAAGGACAGTGACCCAGACTGTGTTGTGCTAAGAACACAGCTGCTTCCTTCCTGTGATCATTGGCTCACAAAGGGAGCTGGGCCTGAACTCCAGATGACCTTCCCTGAGAAGCAGAAGACTACACTCAAGTCCGCTGTGACACCCTAGAGTAGCGGTTCTCAACCTGTGGGTCGCGACCCCTTTGGTGTTCGAACGACCCTTTCACAGGGGTCGCCTAAGACCATCCTGCATATCAGATATTTACATTACGATTCATAACAGTAGCAACATTACAGTTATGAAGTAGCAACGAAAATAATTTTATGGTTGGGTCACAACATGAGGAACTGTATTTAAAGGGCCAGAAGGTTGAGAACCACTGCTCTAAAGTCTGGCCAGCTTGAGATTCTCAGACTCGAGCAGGGAGGAAGCAGGAGGAGGCAGGGGGAGTAGCGAGTAGTCCCTGGAGCCCGGGAGCGGGGTGCAGAGGGCAGAAATGGGCAGGCTGGGCTTCAAGACTTTGCCCTGTGGCACAGTGCCCACTGGGTGTGGGTTATGGCCCAGGAAGTAGTGAGTCTGGGCTTAGTCAAGGCCAAGGAGGATGGGTCCCCTCTTGGGAGGGCATGGGAGTGTGAGCACCCGGCTGAGACAGGAAACCCGGACCCTAGCCCCAGAATAGGGGAACAATCTGCTGCCCCCCCCTCCCCAGTAGGAGGAAAGACTGACAGCCCCAGGTCGAATCTGATGTGGCTGTAGGGTGGATCATCCTTGCTCCCCTCACCATCTGAGGGGAGAAGGCCCAGCCCCCAGGGGCCACAGTGACAGGTGTGCCCCTCCATCACCCATCCCAGCCCGGTTCTGTTTTATTCAAATCAAGCAGCTGTCGTGGGCCTGAGTCCAAACCTGCTACCTCCACAGCTGCTGGGAGGGGAAGTGAGCCAAGGATGACACACTCACTGATGGGAGTGGCATCACTGTGCTACTTGGGGCCATGTGCTCGGCTTCCCTCTCACCACAGGCGTCTATGAGAGGTCAGTGCAGCAAGCCTGGTGGGCTTCCTGGAGGAGACTGCGAGTAGACTGGGAATGGCTCTTATCATTTTGGGCGTCTTTCTTCCTGCTTCTAAATAGTGAGCGAGGGGGCTTCCGTGTTGTGGCTCTCTCATCATGTGCAGCATTTAGGACCAGAGCTCTCGGAGCTCAAGCCCCACACCTATCACTCATAAGCTGCGTGAACTTGAGCAAGGGACATGAGTCCTTTGGACCTCATTCCTTCATTTGTGAGGCAGGGATAGCACAGTTCCTACCTCGCAGAGCTGTTGTGGGATTAAGACAATTGATCTATGCAACATGCTTAGGCCTGTGAGCACGAACAACAGAAGTTGTATCTGGTACCTTCCTCCTCAGTGCACGTGCCCGGCCCACCTAGGCAGTGCCAGGCATGCAGCGGGCACCTCATCAACACCCGACGACCTGCCATTCCTGGCTTTCCTACGTCTCTCAGAGCTGGGAAGGGGAGGGACTGCTGCCCACACTTGGCTGAACAGGCCAGTGGAGAATGTAAAAGGCTTTCTCAAGGTCAGGGCTGAGGGAAGGGCCCAGGATGGGAGAACAAGCCTCCCACCCCCCAGTGTTCTCCAGACAACAGCCGCTTTGTCTGGGGAGGGAGAGAAAATTCCTTCCGGAACCCCCGCAGCAGCCAGTCAGCGGCAGGACTGGGCAGGGCCAGAGGTCAGCTGGGAAAGTGATCAGCAGCTCTGGAGCTGAAGTCCTTGTGGGCCAGCCCTGCCTGTGCCTGGCCCTCCCCTCCAGGGCCGGCTGGGCAGGGGCAGTGAGGGCTCCTTACGCAGGACAGAGATGAAACTGCTCCTGTCGGCCAGGATCCACACCCCGAAGCCCAGGATCACCCCGCCCAGGATCTGA